CAAAGTTTGGGGTTGTAAGGCAATTGTAAAAGTGTCGGAACCTAAACGTAAAAAGTTAGAAGAAAGAGGAGTTGAGGGCATTTTTATAGGATATGCGGATCATAGCAAATCCTATAGGTTTTATGTGATAAAACAAAATGACTTTTGGTCGGTTCATACCACCATAGAGTCAAGGGATGCATTGTTTGTGAAAATAGATATTCATCAATTCCTAGACCTAAGGATATTACTCCAAATACCAATACTCAAGGTGATAATATCAAGAGGAAGATGACCAAGCTCATTTAAAGGAGGCATCTTCATCATCATCTTCACTTAGGAGAAGTAAGAGGGCTAGGAAAGAAAAATCTTTTGGCCCAGATTTTCATGTGTACTTGATTGAGGGATCAAGAAACAACGTTTTGACACAATTTCCTCATATTTTTAATGTGGAAGATGATCCTTCAACATTTGATGAGGCTATGAAGTCTCATGATGCTCCATTTTGGAAGGAAGCAATTAATGATGAGATGGATTCCATCATGGGAAACAATACTTGGGTATTAGCTGATTTACCTCCTAAATGTAAACCAATAGGGTGCAAATGGATCTTCAAAAAGAAATTGAGGATTGATGGAACCGTTGAAAAATTCAAAGCCCGGTTAGTGGCACAAGGTTTTACACAAAAGCCTGGTATTGATTATTTTGATACACATGCACCTGTTGCTAGAATCTCAACTATAACGTTGTTGATAGCTCTTGCGGCTAACCATAATCTTGTGATCCATCAAATGGATGTCAAGACAACGTTCTTGAATGGAGATCTAGAAGAAGAGGTTTACATGCAACAACCGGAAGGGTTTGTTGTGGAAGGCCAAGAGCGAAAAGTTTGCAAGTTGATTAAATCTTTGTATGGGCTTAAGCAAGCACCTAAGCAATGGCATCAAAAGTTTGATGAGGTTGTGTTGTCTAATGGATTCAAGTTGAATAATTCAGACAAGTGTATATATAGTAAATTTAATGACAACGATGAAGGTGTCATAATTTGTCTATATATAGATGACATGTTGATCTTTGGAACAAGTATGTCACAAGTTGAAATGAAAAAGGAATTCCTTAGTTCAAAGTTTTCCATGAAAGACATGGGAGAGGCGGTTGTCATCTTGGGCATAAGAATAAAGAAGGAAAAAGGGAAGTTGATCTTGTCACAATCTCATTATATTGAGAAAGTGATCAAGAAGTTCAATGTAAGTGAAAATTCTCTTTCTCTTTATTCAACGCCTATGGATCCTAGCGTAAAATTATTACCTAATGAAGGTAATGCAGTTTCACAACTGGAGTACGCAAGAGTAATAAGTTGTTTGATGTATGCCATGACAAGTACTAGACCGGATATTGCTTACGCAGTTGGTCAACTAAGTAGATATACTAGTAATCCTAGTATGCTACATTGGCAAGCAGTTCCACGTTTGTTGAAATACTTGAAGAAAACCATGGATTATGGTTTGTCTTATAGTGGATATCCCTCGGTTATAGAAGGATATTCAGATGCAAGTTGGATCTCTAATAAAGATCATTCCTCCACAAGTGGTTGGGTTTTTCCTATATGGGGGAGGTGCTATCTCATGGGCATCAAAGAAGCAAACTTGCATTGCGGACTCCACAATGACATCGGAGTTCATTGCTTTGCATTCAGCTGGTAAAGAAGCTGAATGGTTGAAGGATCTCATGTTTGAGATACCTTTGTTGGCAAAACCAATATCACGTATAGTGATACATTGTGATAATAATGAAACCTTGGCTAATGCATATAGTCAAGTATATAATGGTAAGTCAAGGCACATTGGTGTAAGGCATTGTTACATTCAAGGATTTATCAAGGATAGTATAATTACTATTGACTATGTTCGTACGAAGTTTAATCTCGCTGATTGCTTCACAAAAGCATTGGCAAGAGATGTTAATAAGAGGACGACAATCGGTTTAGGAAATCTTAACTTAACGCCCAATAAGACGTTGGGTCTTAAGTTCAATCAGATTAATTTCTTTATTGAGTGATTGGGAACTTGTATTCATCCTAGGTAAGTTCCAGTTTTACTGTGATGTAAAGAGGTTGTATTTCTTGATAGATTTTTGACAATTGTGCTTTGTCACAGGAGCATGTTTATGAAATATCTACCTATTTAAGTACGAAGTTTAGCCGCTTCAAGAAGCTATTTGGGCATAGTTTTGAAGTACTTACGAAAAGATAGGGACACATGGCTTTACATGTCAAGTATTAATGTAATCAAATAACTGATCTTGTGTGTGTAATATCTTCATGAATTCAATATGTATTGCTTTTGGTTCAAACGTTTACGATACCGATTGGATACGAATTCTTGGAATGTATATTGCACTAAGTGGGAGTTCAAGTCTTTGTACACTTTCATTTATGCATAAGATTGCTATTTATGATGATGATGTTTTTGCAATGAGTCTAAATTAATTCTCTAAATGGGGGAGGATTGTTGAATTATTTAGAGAATGGTAGACTAATTTCATGTTATTCAATTAATTTACTTAGGTTAAGGTGTTGTATTATTAATTAAATAAGTAATTAAAGCAAATAATCATAATTGACTGTTGTTTTCGGTTTTAATCGTATGGTTTGGATGTACAATGCTTTGTGTCATTTGGCTTGTATGGCCAAATAATACTAAGTGACGGTTGTGGCTAAACAATAATAATAAGCGACAGTTGAATACTATTGCAAGTCACAATCATCATCATTCATAATTCCTTAAAGTTTGTTTTACTTTAGATCAAAAATATACTACACATAATTGTGATTGTTCTTCGTTGTATCTCCTAAGTGATTTCGTGATACCCGGGTTGTAGTTTAAGGGTCGAAATATTACTTTTGGGAAAGTGATTCCGTTCACGCCTCGAAGGTTATTATTGTTTAATTCCGATTTCTTCTTTGTGTCCCTTGTATTTTTAGTATTATCCCCAACATTTCCCAGCCATTGAAGCCGGAACAACTTAAAGAGATGAAATCTGATGCACAATTCATTTTGCTGACTGATTCTGCTGAAACGTATATAAACCTACTTTCCAACCGTTGCCATACTAAACACAAGTTTTTCTTGGTCAAGGGCGTCGTAGACCAGTGCACCTGCTACTTTCTCAGGCTGCTCAAGAGGGAGTGGCGCATTCCAATTGTTGCGTTGGTTGATTATGATCCTATGTCCTTGAAGCTTCTCTCCTTTTACGAAACATGGATACCTAAGGGGATGTCATGGGGTTTTTCTGGTGTTGAACTTGACATTAAGTGGTTGGGGATTAGACACATTCACTTGGATGTTGCTCAGGACCCTCTCAATGCTCAAGTGTTGAAGTGGATGATCATGATATAGCTGTTGCTAAGAGTCTCTTAGCTTGAACGACAACTTTGTGAACAAGTCTGAAGAGAGGGTTGCTGAGGTGAAAAGAATGATAGAGCATAAGTTGATGACCATATCGATCGCGCTTCATGTGGATTTTGTTGTGGAGACTTACCTTCCCGCTCTTGTTGACAGCAAGAGGTGGATATAGAACATATCAGGCTTGTGTCTAAAGCTGTTTACTCCATATGTCAGTAATAGTATGTGCTAAATAATGACAACCATGATGACTTAATGTTAACAACAAAAGCTAGACATTGTTACTTAGTTGTCATTTTGAGTTAGTTAAGGATCTTACCTATAAATTGTTTCCAACGTAATTTCTTCACTAATTATGCATAAAGCTAGTTTTTGAATTTATGAAAAATACAAATTTTGTTGGCATGTTTCTAGATGTGTTACAGATTATGTATGAGCTTTTTTTGATTAATTTAGTTAAAGTAAAGATGGCATTGGGTCTTGTCGGATGTGTCTGGTGTTATGTCAATAATTGGTCAAATACAGCCTATGAAATATTTTTTTTTGCCACTAAAATGAAGGATTGGCTCACAACATAGCCCACGTGATGGTCATCATGTTGTGACTACTTAAATTTGTGTTTTTGTATTGTGTTGCGTTGTGTCATGTTGTGGTTCTACTTTTTGTACTTCTAATCATCGTGAAATTCAACTATAGAAATTACCAATATCTTAATTTTCATGAATTAATTAAAACGGCCACATCAATAAGGGAAGGAAGGAATATTATTTAACCCATCATCACAATTTTGTATACACTATTACTATGAGACCCCACAACTTTCACATATAGATTCTCCACCATCCCTTACCCTAGTCCTAACTAGTGGTTTGCTTAAGTGACTTCCATCATGAAAGGGTAATTCATACTTAATTGTTTAAAGTTCAATCAAACAAGTTCTAATAAAATGCAATTGAATTGCCTGATGGAAAATAAGTTCCTTGCCAACCAAAAATAAAATATATACGGTACAAGTATTAGTAAGGTTAAAACTTCTAACCTCAACGATGATGTTAAAAAGAAAAAATAAAATAAAATGCTTCCAAGCTTAAAAAATGAAGGCGAATTCTTTTATAGATTAATCCAATCTAAACTCGAACCTAAAAACTCAATCAAACTCGTAGAGCTGACAAAAACTGACACGGTACGATAACACGACACGAAAAAATTGAATTAGTGTCAAAGGTTTTCAACACGTTTAATTAAATGGGTCAACACGACACGACACTTTTAATTAAAAGGGTTGGGTTAGTGTTGAGACTCTTAACACGAAATTAACACGAATCAACCTACCTAGTATAAAAACCCAATAATTTATGAAATTATTAATAAATCCATTGAACAAGACCAATATTTTTCAATTCAACACGACACGACACGAACCGAACACGAAAAAAGCGGGTTAGTGTTAAGAGTTTTCGACACGATTAATTAATTGGGTCAACACAACACGACACGTTTCTTAAATAGATCGGATTGGTATTGAACTTCTCTAATCCGTTGAATTTCCGATATAAAAACGAACACAACACGATTGCCAAGTCTACAAATTTGACTCGTCCCACGATCAAAATACCCAAAATGTAAAAAATGGGTGTACTATCAAGCATCAACAACGACGTCAAAAAGACTCTCAGTTGAAATAATTGAGTTTCAACCGAAGAGAGCGAACCATACGGATCCCAAATTTGAGAATTCCAGAGCTATTACTGGTCGTCTCATCTTCGCTGTCATCTTCATCCTCCTTCTCATCATCCCCATTCGTAATTCACCGCGTTTCTGGCAATTTCATCAAAGTAAAACTCACCCTTAAATTTCTTCAACTCAGTCACCATCAAACTCCCATTTTCTCTCTCCTCACTCTTCAAATTCACCCACCATTTTCGCTCCCTTTTCTTCCCAACCCATCAACCAATTCTCTCTCCTTTGACTCCCATGGGAAAAGGCGGCGGTTGCGTCCCCAGCAAGAAGAAACTCCCCGACCGCGTAACAACCGCCGGATACCGGCAACCTCCGGCACCAATTGACGGCAGCAAATCCCCAGTTGAAACCTCATCTTCCGACCCACCTACAACCCAAAACGACGCCGTTTTTGACCCCAATCCGACCCGAATTCTGAAGGTGTACATAGTTTTCTACTCGATGTATGGACACGTGGAGGGATTAGCGAGAAGGATGAAGAAAGGGGTTGACGCCGTTGATGGGGTTGAAGGGGTTTTGTATAGGGTGGCTGAGACTTTGTCGCCGGAAGTGTTGGCTCATATGAAGGCGCCATCGAAGGATGATTCTATACCGGAGATTTCGGAGGCGGCGGAATTAGCTGCTGCTGACGGGTTTTTGTTCGGGTTTCCGACGAGGTATGGGTGTATGGCGGCTCAAATGAAATCATTTTTTGATTCGACGGGACAATTGTGGAAGGATCAGGCATTGGCCGGAAAACCTGCCGGATTTTTTGTTAGTACCGGTACTCAAGGCGGCGGGCAGGAGACCACTGCGTAAGTATTCGGAACTTAATAATGTTGATTGCTAGAAATTAGTTTATTATGTTTTTGTGTTTTGAGGAATTGTGATTAGAATTTGGTTATTGTCTTACAAATGTTAGTGTGTTTTGAGTTTAATTGATTGATTTTATTGCATTTTTGGTGTTAGGTTATGTTTGATGTGAGTGGCATACTTATAGGAGTGTTTGACTTGGTTGAGTTCATGACTTTATGTTGTTATTGAGCAAATGTTTTCGTGTTAAGAACATAGCTCATTCACTTTAGAATTTGAAAATGCTTGGTAAATTTTTATGTTGTTAGATTATTGTTGAAGAGATTATTCAATGATAGAGAGTAGGGTGGCTTTATACATCAAATTTTGTCTGAAAATGCAAGAAGTATTTGAAGAAATTTGACCGTCTCTTTGAGTGATCTGTGCTGGAGATGTTAAAAGAACGACCCTGGTATGTAATTAAATGAGCTTGGTAGTACACTGTGTGGAATGTTTCGCTTTGGTGACATAATTCCTAGCAGATTTTGGCTGCTGTAGTCATGGAGGTGGCATCCTTGTGGTCCCATTATTTTTCTTAGCGGGAGGGGCGGGATCCTAAAATTTATTTCTTTGAGGGTGATTGAAAGGAGCTATGTATTTATGTATGCAGTCACTCCTGTTGACTTTCAGATGAAAGTCAGAAGTGGCAGCTCTTTTATTTCATTTTTTTGCTTGTGAGTTGTGGCTTTCCCTAGTCACCGTTTACAATTGTCTAGAATCTGAGGTAAACAAGCACTACTACTACAAAAGAAAATATCAATTTTGACTGTGTTCCAGCATTACCAAGAAGTAAAATACAATCATGAAATGCGGGATTGAGGTTGTCACCCTTCCCAATCCCATATTTTGATCAGTTTTAACACTTCTCTTTAGTAGTTAGTTAAATACAAGAACCTTTTTTTTTTTTTTTTTTCTTTTTTCTTACAACTCTCTTATCTGATTAAAGATACACCAAAATCACCTAGGATGTATCTTATGAGTGTATGCTCTATAGACCAGTCTGAAACCAGAATGGGCTCTCTACATGAGAACCACATGGTTGGTGACTACCTAAGAGTTTATCTTTATTTGAATAAGAGAAATCTTAATTCATAGGGAATTTAACTTCCAATTTCACCACCAGAGATATTAAGGATCTGTCAGAGGCCGCAGAGCCTGCTGGCATGACTTACCATGGAAGAGTCATCAACTTTACACTTCCAGACTTCCTCCAACATTAGAAAAGAGGACTCCATTTGCTGTAGCTTATTGTATATTTTGTAAATCAATTTGATTTTACCAAGAGAAAGGGGGACTAAACTACCAGTGATGTAAATCAGAGCTAAGCCAAAGATTGACTCGGACCACCAATATCTTAGATATTGAGTCCCTCTGGCTCTACATTACTTGATGAACAATGTTAATCCAATGTACTTTTCTCATTGCAGGACTTTGAAAGATGTTTTCGTAATGGCAGTTCATAGATTTCTCCAATTTTTTTTTAGGAATCCAAATGTTTAATGGAAAGTGAAATATGATCTGATGATTCTGAATCTCTGCTTGAAGTTTGAGCTATTAAGTTTGAGTTACCCTGTCATGATGGAAGTTACTTAAGCAAACCTCTCGGTTCACACAATGCCGATGATTCTCTTGTTGGGACGAGGGGCGAGGGATGGTGGGGAATCTATCTGTGAAACCTGTGGGGTCTCATAGTGATAGTGAATACTGAATTGTGATGAAGGGTTAAATAATAGAAGAATTGGAGAATGATAAAGGCTGCAGATTAATTTATTGGAGGTCAGAGGACAGGTTGATGTTGAGATCTTAAGGGCATCGTAGTCACCGTGTGAATTTTGAAAATGAGGTTGAACACTTTAATAGAAAAATAAACAAAGGCAGCATATAAAATTTCTAATATAGCTTTGAAGATGTCCTGTAGTTTGATCCTGCTTTTCTCAACATAGCTATTACCAGAACTTTATGTTCGATCCTGTGTGTCTCTACTGTGATATATTTATTTTCTGTGCTGAGGAAACGATTGAATGATTCCTGTCAGAAAATATGTTGTATTGTGTGGACTGATTTTCTTGGGACTGGTTAGAGATTAAATGCATACTTTTACTAGCTTGTTATTTTGTGCTTACTTATCCAGCTAACCTCTTTCTGCCTTCCGTTTTTGCAGTTGGACAGCAATTACTCAGTTGGCTCACCACGGGATGCTTTTCGTTCCTGTTGGGTACACCTTTGGTGCTGGTATGTTTAAGATGGACACAATACGCGGTGGTTCTCCTTATGGTGCTGGAGTTTTTGCAGGAGATGGCACTCGAGAACCTACTGATACTGAGCTAGCACTCGCAGAGCACCAGGGCAAGTATATGGCTGCAGTTGTCAAGAGGCTTGCCTAGCCTTGATCTCCCTCCATCATTCAGGTTTCTGTCACATCTGATGGAATCCAAATGATGTACCCCTTCAGCTGAAGTGTATATGTCCCATTTATTATACTGATATTTTGGTTTTCAGATATAGCCATCTGGCACTGCATAGAGTTATAGGGCTTTTTTCTTTTCATTTTCTTGTTTCTTGCTGATGTTATTATTTTTTTCATTTGATGTATTCATGGAGTATAGTTGGTGTACATGTTTCAAACTCAGTGCTCAATTATTTGTTTCGATGATGGCATAATAAGAATGTCACAGTTTGCAAAAAGATTTTAGCTTGCTTTTCTATCTGAGCTTTAATAGTTTTAAGTTGCTGAGTTTCTTTGCTGCCGCTTGATTCCCTTTCTGTTTGAAGTTTACTTTATTATTTTTATAATACTTTTATTGACATATTTGTTTTGTTCAAAATTACAAGTATACTGGAACAATAGTTAGCAATATTGTTGCTTCTTGTTACAAGGCGCGATTCTGGAGCATTGAATGCCTACTTCAGTAGTCCAGTATAGTGAAGCAACAAGGAGTTATAGCCCTGCAGATTGCCCTACAAATATTTTTGCATTCCACCAATGCCATAACTACCCACCATACATAAATGCAAAAGAGTCAAAGATGAGATATGCTGAATGTCTTTAGTTTTGATGCGATAATGTTCTATGCACGCAGAACAATTGTTCCTTGCGCATGCTACAACCAAATGTTATTTCATTTCCCACGTGCTTGCACCTTGTGAGCACATAGGCAAAAAAACTAACCTTGATTGTATTATAAAGGTAAAATCAGTTTTTTGAACTAAACTTATACTCAATTATTCATGGCAATGTAACAACAATTCATGAATGAATAAAGAAGAAGAATCTTAATGTTTCTTTTGTAAAACAATCATAGGATGAAAATGAATATGAAGGATATTATATGCCAAATACATAAGAGTATCTTTTTATTTTTCACTGATTAGCAGTAATTTTTGAGAGCGAGAATTTCCTTATCTTTCCCATAATCTCATAAATGACTTGATCTGAATCAACCCAAATCAAAACCAATCCGACAACCAAGCAATCTCTTTTTATTTACTCCGTACATTATAAAAAAGTCTCGACTTTGCTTAAAGTCTCAAAAATATTCACTCACGACTCTATCTATTGGCTTAATCCAGTAATCAAGATTAGCCCACCTCGAAAGGTGCATCAATAATACAGAATCGTACATCTTCACAGACTTCTGCTGACATTCAAACCAACTTTTACAATCCTCACAACTAAAACCATCATAATACTACTCTTCCTATAAATCTTCAATTCAACACCAAAATAGAGTTCCACACTTCTCTCACAAACTCTCTCAAAAATGGCGGACAAACTCTCTGCTTTGAGATCTTTAATGGCTTCTCACTCTCCTCCTCTTCATGCCTTAATCGTTCCTTCTGAAGATTATCATCAGGTTCAATTTTGAAATTTAATTGTTATATATTATAATGAAACGAAAATAAAGTAGAATTATTGTTTCGATTTTTACGAGGTTTTCTCTGTGTTTATTTGAATTGATTTTGTAGAGTGAGTATGTTTCTGATCGTGATAAAAGGCGGCAGTTTATTTCTGGATTTTCTGGAAGTGCTGGTAAGCGCAAAGTGCAATTGCATCTCGATAATTAAATTGAATTTTTCGTTGAATTTTATCATTGTTTGATATTATTGGATTTTGTATATTTTGGATTGTTTCACCTGGATTTCTGTTTTCTGCATTGTGTAATATTCAATATTTCAATTGAATTATCGTTTTTGTTATTGCAAAATCTCGATATAGATTGATCCTGGATTACTTCGATTTAGAACTCGAATTCAGAGGAGAATTATTGGTTTGTAGGTGTTCTCTTGGAGTGTTATCTGTTACTATTTGTAAATTATGTTGACATGAGTGCCAAGATGTATAATAGACTGATTAATATCAAGAAGTATTATTATAGCTAGTTCTGTCGTTGTGGAGGGTGTAATCGCTTTTGTTTTGTGCTTATAGTTTTTGAACATTCTCTGGATATGTCGATGTTAGTGGATATTAGGCAGTGAGTGTTCTTGGTCTGACAAGCCAAGGAGGTTTTATGACAATCAAGTAAATCAAATCTTTGTAGTGCCTTTCATTGCCATGATGCCTTTACCTATTCATGGAAGAGTTCAATCTGTTACTCTATCTTTAGTAGGAGTGGCACTCATCATAGTCATTCATGGTAATTTTATATTTGTCGGCATTTCAAAATAGACTATCACTAAAGAAATGAGTTTGACCTATGATGTAGAATCATGCATAGTTTTATGGCTTTTCTCGAGAATCTTCTCCGTAAATTATTTGTATGCATAGTATGCTAAGATGGCAAGTCAGTCCATCTTGTTTAGTTCGGGTGAGTGTGCAACTGTGTATACTTTCCTCCCTAGATGCTGATAGGCAATTAGGCACAGGATCCATGCTGATGGCTGATTACATGTATATGTTTATTCTACAATCACAATAATTATTCAATTGCTAAATGAACCTGCATGACTTACAAGGAATTGATCTTCTTTGTCGAAGTGGATTTTTCTGGAAAGTTCTCAGTAGTTCATATTCTTTTCAGGTTTGGCCCTCATAACAACGGATGATGCAAGGCTTTGGACCGATGGAAGGTATTTTTTGCAGGCGGAGAAACAGCTAAGTGATCAGTGGAAGCTTATGCGTATGGGAGAGGATCCTGCAGTAGAGATCTGGATGGCAGATGTGAGTGGGTTTTTTATTTTAGTCCTGAACAATCTTTCATAATTTGAACTATCAAAGGACAGGAAATGACTCTAGGTGTTTTTTTTTTTTTTTTTTGATGGAATCTGTTTAATTAAAATTTAATTTCTTTTTCTATTTTTTTTTTTTTTTTTTTTTTTGGGGGGGGGGGGGGGCTGTGTACCTTCTCACAGTTAGGAGTTAGAGTTCATTTGAAAGTTTCACTGTTTGTTGGCTAATTTATTTGATGCTGCACAAAGTGTTTCTATCTCAAACAATTCTTTGTGAGTGCTGAAGTGAAGTTGTCTCTATTATCTGTTGTCTTCCAGAATTTGCCAGAAGAAGCAGCTATTGGCATTGACCCCTGGAGTGTATCAATAGATACTGCACAGAGATGGGAACGTGCACTTGAGAAGAATCAACAAAAGTTAATTTCAACCTCGAACAATCTTGTTGATCAAATTTGGAATGATAGGCCAGAAGCTGAGGCGAATCCTGTCAAGGTGCAACCACTGGAGTTTGCTGGACGCACAGTTGCAGAAAAGTTGCAAGATTTAAGGAGAAAACTTATGCAGGAGAAAGTACACAGTATTATTATCTCTGCACTTGATGAGGTAATGGTCCTTCTATTTTGTGCAATGTCTGTGGACCCCCTTTGTTTATCTTGAAATTACTGTCCAAACGATCGTTTATACCTATGGTATTTACAATTTCCTTGCTTGGATTTACTTGTTTATACATATATATGTGCATGCTCAGTTGCTCACTGTGTCTGACTGTGTGTGCGTACATAGTGAGTCCTTTAAGAAGCAGCATCTTTGATATGGTCCCCAACGGAAGAGAGACTTATGTACTACATTGCCATTGGAACATAAATTGGTATTCTTGTGCCCCATGATGAATTAATTCTGGTGATTTGTTTGCAGGTTGCTTGGTTATTCAATATTCGTGGGAATGATGTTTCATATTGTCCAGTTGTTCATGCTTTTGCTGTAGTAACATCAGCAGCAACATTCGTTTATGTGGACCAACGAAAAGTATCTCCTGAGGTCAGTCTCTGCCGTGGAGCAGTTTTTGGCTGTGGCTTTTAATGATGACATGTTACATAGTTGTTACTAGCTAGCTCACTGTATCACATCAAACATATGCGAACTTAGGATCAAATCACAATCTCGCAAAATTAAAGGACGATAATGTGTAATAACCTCTCGAGGGAGTAAATTAGTTTTGGCCATTTTTTCTCTTTGGTCAATAATTTTTATGTTGATAGGCTGCATAAATAATACTATGTTATTTGAAATCTAGAAATAAACTATATTACGTTCTTGTTTAGAAACTATTGTCCACTTTACTTTAGTGACATACATTGGTGTGAGTCATGTTTACAAAACAGACTATCTTTTTTTGATGAAGGAAGTGGTGTGTACTGTGTAGTCAATTAGGGAATTATTATTAAGGTATTTTGGTTGAATTGGTTCCTCAGAATCAAGACAGTGAAGGGAATTAAGGACCTAAATTCTTGTTAGTGTTTTGTTCTGCTTATTTGATTATTTCTATTCCTTTTGTTGTAAAAAAAGAAAGAAAAAGAATGAAAAATGTTGAAAGGAACTTACTGCAATTCTTATTCCACTTTCAAGAACAACTTAAATGCTAATATATAGGCTACAACTTAACTATTAATCAGAAAAATAGCTGCAACTATAATCCACTAACATTGAAGCATAACATTCATCACCTTTCCCCCACTATATCTGATGAAATCATCTCATAAACCCTATTTGATGTTGCGTGTAATGTGATAGGGTATTGCCAACCTATCAAATGATAACTTTATTCGGTCTTACTAACTAGTAGTAAGAGCAAGTAAAGGTCGAACACATGAGGCATTGAATCAACCACCAAATGTTATCCAACAAACAAGCTAAGTCAAATTGGGTGTTTAAATGGCGTTTTATCCAAACTCCTAATTCAAGGAAATTAGAAATTAACAATAAGAACTATAATAGAAAAGTTCTAAGGCAAGGGCTACGCCATTCAATTTGATCACAAAATTGCAATTAAACATGGAGATATAGGACTTTAGAGGAAATTATCAAAAGCACCAAAACTACTATTTCGAGCTAGAAGGGATAGCTTTGAAACCTGAACTACAATCTATTTTCATAGTCACAAAACATTATTCCAAGCAATAAACCTAATTATAAAGACAATAACAATCTCTTTGACTAGAAATTCCTATTTTTCATGGTCTTTTAGTCGAACAAGCATAAAGGAGCCTACTACTTGATTTCATCTTTCGATCTTTGGTTAAGGAGAATAAGAATTAAGTTGAAATGGTAATCAATCATAAAAAATAACAATGAAAATCCCTTAATGCAACCCACAAGAGTTTAATATCCATATGCAATCAAGTATTCGTGACAACAAGGGTTCACCTAAACCCTAAAATCCATGGAAATCATCTCAATCAACATAATTAAGGTATTCAATAGAAAATCCAAGGTTGAAGACAATGCTTTTAATAATTTAACAAGTGAAATAGAACTTTAAAAAACATGAGAAGATTTATCTACGATCAACTCGAGTTCCCCCTTACATAGGATTCAAAATCAAAAGAAGTTTTGTTTGGGGAATTTGTAGAGGAAGCTATGTTGACACCTCCTCCTCAACCTTTGCTTCGGGACTAAAGCGTCTGGATGCTTTCTTCAAAGTGGCATCCTTCTTCCCGTCACAAATGCCGATAACTATTAGCTTGCACCGCATTGAACCGCAACTCATATGGAAAACGATCAGTTTGGTTGGAACCCCAATGAGTGTGTCCATTCACACATTTGGACAAATATTTTTAATTGCGTACAACAATAAAGCAAAAGTAGTCACTCTATTTTAAATGTATGAATGAAAAACAATGAAGCACAAACCAAAACCAATACTGAGCAGGTATGCACATCGAGGAAATGAATTGGATTAGTGGATTTTCGGTCTAATAATTAAAATACTGATTCTAGTGACTATGTGTTCCTATTCTTTATTTACTAGCCTCTCATTGGCCCTTCCCCCATAAGTTTGATTCTGTAGTTCTCCTTTAACCAACTTCGTACTGCACCTCCATTACCAATGCCCTTTCCCACCTTGCATTATCCCTTTCTTTCCAATCAAGAACCACCACTTTGATATCATACTGAGCCAAAACCCAACTACATTAGCTATAGGAGAACCTATGAAACTGAGAAAAATGTATCTTCAAAATTTCTAAATTCATTGATAGTTCTTGAACACTTTGTGATTTTTAGGCTCATTTTTGTTGGGTCTTGACCTTAGTGGTCAAATTGTTCTTAGGTGGTGGAGGTAGAGGGAGGCAAAGAAAGAGTGTGGAACAAGGATGGTGGAGAAGTGAGGTATGGGTAAGAGAGCAGAAGTTCTATACTGGTTGCAGGTGTAAGAAAGAGAGAGAGGAGGAGAGGGGTTTTTGATAAAAATGATCTATCAAACACTACAAAAAAAGATTCTACTTACTTTCTGTTTCTCTCTCTTTCTTTGAACCAATCATCCTCTTAAGAGTATTATTTTCAAAGCTTAACAGTGTCCTAACAGATTAAAAAGTCCAGAAAATAATACTTCAAAGCTAATGTACTTGTGAAAAATGTTTCATAACTTAACATCCCTGTCAAAATTACATCTTGTCAGTTTACCTAGTTATCTACCCCTATTTTATGTCTTTTAATTTTGGTGCCCATTTTTTTTAACTCATATTTAAGAGGGGTTTTTTCAGGTGCAAACTTACATGATGGAAAACAAAATTGAAGTCCGTAACTATGATGCAGTTGGTGCAGATGTTGACCTGCTGGCATTTAATCAGCTTGCTTCTTCCTTGCCGGTTAATGCTGCAGAAAATAAAACTGGGGAGACGGGAAAAGATTGTAACTTCATATGGATGGACCCTCGTTCATGCTGCTATGCTTTGTATTCCAAACTTAAGTCTGATCAAGTCTTATTGCAGCAGTCTCCTTTGGCACTTGCAAAAGCTTTGAAGGTAATGCTTTTTCTTGTGTTTATTGTACAATTTATTAGTCCTGCAGCAAAAACCAAGATCAAATAGGATTTATGTATGATGGAGGTTTGATGTGTCTTTTTTTGAAGAGTGTGCTAATAGATGGGACCTAAATTTATTAGGCTCAATAGATGGGACATAACTGTCTATTACTTCTTCCGTTTTCCTAAGTTCTACTCACTTACTGTTTCATCCGTTTTTTTAAGTTCTACTCATTTTTTTTATTATTCCTTTTATGACAACCTTTTATTCATTTATATCATCAAATTTTTACTAAGGTTACCTGCTTTATTGAAGGGTAGAGGTCTTATAAGATTTTTTTTAGTATGCATTCATTTGTTTAAGTACAATCTTACTCTCAAATTCATCAATACCTCTTTAGTCACCTAAGAGGGTCTCTGTATCCATGCTAGTCATTTTTATATATATCTGGTACTCCATCCACCCCAATACAAACTTCACACTTGTGTAATCATTGTCTCCTAGATCAATTGTTGACCATTATTATGTTGATCATGTACTTTGTACTAATGAATATTAATAAAGTTAATGTTTTGAATATAGACAATCTACCAAATATAACAAGATCCCTCTTCTTAATGTAAAATCATACCACCTCCATTTCTTATATAATATCCCTTTGTTGCAAATAATAAGAAACGGAGGTAGTACATGTTGTCTCTAAATACACAATCAATGTTGATGTGTATTTGGATAGGGGGAGTAAATCATGGGAGTCTTAAAGTGGATGCAAATCATTTCTGTGATCCCTTTTGGTTTTGTTGGATTTCTTTCGAAATCTCCTTGAAGTGTGGTTGGATCTTAGAAAGGCAGATGGAACAGGGAAAAGATGAAACTGAAAGGAAATCAGATGGGCTTGTAGTTGTAAAATCCTGTTCTTCTTGTTTTTGATTTTTATGATATTGGTAAACGCTTAAACTTAATATCCTTTGATTTGTTTCAAAGTAAAGCTGTGTTATCATTTTTCGGAATTATGGAGCTTCCCTAATTTTCCTAGTCCTTTTTGGAGCTAATTTGGTGATGAAAACAAAATTAAACTGCTTTGGCTTGTTCACTATGAGCTAACTAGAATATAGCATTAACAAAATGCATTTTAGAGAAGATGCAAACAGTGCCAAACTAGCTTGGCTCATTCAATACGAACTTACTGGAATATCCATAGACAAAATGCAGTTTTACAAAAAATGGAATGTTATCATCTACTTGTTAGCATCAAACTTATACGATAGGATTATAACATTGGCCTTTGCAGAGATGTTCTTGCTATGTATAAAAAATATTTCCGCTAACTACTAACGGATAGAGATTCTCAGAATCCTGCTGAAATGGAAGGCTTGAAGAAGGCGCATGTGCGGGATGGTGCAGCTGTTGTGCAGTTCCTTGTGTGGCTTGATAAGCAGGTAACTAACCTTCTACTTTTTATGCCTTTACTGCTTGGCTTTTTTATAAAGGATATATTGTTCAAGAGCACGTCATTAATGAATTACAAAAAAAGAGAACCATCTTTCACGGGTATGCCTTATGTGGCAATTAGTGGATAGGTATTACTTCTAATGATTTCCTTTGCTCTTAAAACAGTTCATCATAATCCATTAATCTTGATTGGCCCAGTCCTGTTGAGAATTCCTCTTTGATCTGGTTTTCCCTCCCTTGTATTGTCTCGCTGCCACATTGTCCCAAGTCAAGCCATCACCGTTCACTATGGTACTACCCCAAAATTTCCCTAACCTCCATCGCTGAACACCTTCACCACCATTGGAAGCTAGACCATCACCACCTTTTCACCCTGTCCATCCTCACCACCTCACCTTCTCTTCTCTCCTCTGCCAATGTCCTCTCACCCATCTTCCCTCCCCTACCACCTCTCCTTTTTTTCCTGCCCTCCTTACAGCCTTGCCTTCTCTAATACCTTGACACACATCTTCCCTCCCCACCACCACCCTCAATTGTTTGCCCACCTAATCACCATCATCTACAAACCAATAATGGTTCATTTAAAATAATCATCCAATGAGAAATAGAAAGGAATGAGTAGTTCTAGCCTAACCACTTACCTTAGGTTGGAAGCACTCCAAATTTAGGCATTTGATAATTTAACAGGCTTATATGGGATTCCTGAATGTTGGTCATAGTCAGGGACTCAGGGTGATGGATAGGGGGGAGGGGCAAGGACTTGGGGCCTTGGGGGTTTGGAGAGGTAGGGGTAAACAAAAATGATGAAATGATTATTTTCCCGGCGGTAACCACACATTTTAAAATTATTATAGAATTCTAAATCTTTACCCCTCAATATCTTTGTCTTTTTCTATGTGAATCTAATGGCCTGTGAACTTGGTGAGACAGTTTCACCCTAGCATTGCTCGATTACATTTGCACCTGTAATTTTTCAGCAAGGTCATCAATCTTAAGAATTGAGTAGCAGTGCACATATCATTACAACACTGCTCAACCATTAACACTGATGGGGGCTATTAGAAAATGGCTAGAAATTAATGAGCATCACCAATGCATGCTTTCTGTTTTCCTTTTTGTAATGAAGGCACCTGTTGGATATTAGATCCCTTCAGGTTCCTGGCCCATATTTTTTGCGTGCTAAAATATTTCTAGCATTCAAATTTTGTTTCAGATCTGGTTATCACCATTACTAATTGGATCTTTTGGCAAACTTTACAAGTTCTTTCTAATAATTGAAATATATGTTTCTGTACTGGGGTTACATTTATCTTCTTCTCTTCCTAATGTGATTCAGCAGTTCTAGTTGCATTATTGATCCACTTGCGTTATAATTTGGGTGAAAAAAATGCAATTTTCAGTTGTAATGACAATTATAACTTGCAGGATTTGTCTTCCAGAAATATGTTTACTTATATGGACATTGAGGGAAGGGGGAGGGACATTTTAGGGAAAGAAAAACAAAGGGTTTTATTTCGTTAAAGATGTAGCATCTGCCAAATTATTTGTAGAGTAAAATACTAGCTATAACTTGAACTCGTGAATGAAAATTCTAATTTTGTTATTAATAATGTACCGCCTCCTGATTCGAAAAGCTAATATTTAAACTTTGCAGATGCAGGAGGCTTATGGGGCTCCAGGGTATTTTTCTGAGGCTGAGACAGAAAGGAAAAAACCTTCGTAAGTAGTCTTTTCTCTCTGAAGAAAGTTTAGTAGTACTTCTCTATAGTATGGGTTTTCTAATGATGGTTGTTAGCATGAGAATTGAGGAACTCCGTTATGTGATTATTCATACAGATCCTAGTAAAAGGGATGTCTTTATTTCTCTCTTTATTTTTGGTGGTTGTGTGAAAATGAAGATAATGTGGACATATTGATATGTACTCACTGTCTGTCTCATGCACATTCTCCATAACATTTTACCAAAAAAATTTCTTTTGATTTGTGTGGCTCACCGATTTTCATTTCTTCTCATTGTTGGGAATATTTGCAGGGAAGCACAGAAGCTGACAGAAATCTCAGTGAGTGATAAGCTAGAAGGTTTCCGTGCATCAAAGGAGGTAAACAACTTACATACGATATTGTGGATTTCACTATTTATTGTCATTGTTTGCAGTTGATTTCTTGTAATGAATGAACTTATAGCTACTAAACTACTGACTGCTGTAACTAAAGAATATTCTTATGAGAAACCTTGGACATTTTTGTTTGTTCATTCCCAAAATTTTTAATTCATTACCAAACTTTGCAATCAACCATGTTAAATGGATTGATTGTAAACCAAATTATGTAATCTACCTTGTTTAAAGAATTGATTTGAACTTCAACTTCATAACAAACAACTTTTTATTGACAGTGTAGAGTTTTATGTTTGGTTTTGTACATTACATCAGAACTGCAACATGCTCATCTGCAAGTCTTTTAGAAAATTGGACATTCTTCTAATTCATTTTCTCTTCAGCATTTTAGGGGCCTGAGTTTTCCTACCATTTCATCTGTTGGTCCAAATGCGGCCATTATTCATTATGGGCCCAATCCTCAAACTTGTGCTGAGATGGATCCAGATCGAATTTACCTGTTTGATTCAGGAGCACAGGTAGACCAACATTTTTATCTGAGCAGCTTATGTCATCACTTTGGCTGTTACTTTAATAACCTTTGTTTATAATATCTTGCTTTATTTTTTTTACTTGGTTGGGTGGCCTTTAATAGTATCAAGATGGAACAACTGATATTACTCGGACAGTGCATTTTGGACAACCTTCTGCTCATGAAAAAGCTTGCTACACAGGGGTATGTATCTGTCATATTGCTTCACAATTCAACTTCTTTTTTCCCTCAATAAGTATAGAACATTACTATTAGCATATTGCAGAGGATGCTGGCTGCATTCTACACTGGTGGAAACATTTGTGTTTTGATGAGTTATCTTCTACATGTGGACAAAATGACCTGAGAAACTACAACTAACACAGGGTTGTAATAAATGAAAGTGAGCTCTCACTATATGATCTTGTCAAACTGTCACATACACTTTTCAATCCGGAATAGTATTGGTTTGAAGAAATTGGTCTTCTTCCCTTCTGTTTGATGACAAGTATTTTCTGCTTCCTGTCCTTCCTCAGTCCTCACACAACGCTTAATTGAAAGCCTTTTTTTTACAAAGGCATCCGTTTCATCGTTTGATTATCAATTTGTATTAATGGAAGCAGCTTTTCCTTTTGAATTATCAGAGATTTACTGAATTATGACTAATAAAATCTGTCAATGTAAAACCTTTAGCCCTGTTCACATTTTTAGAGAATTCCCATTCTTCTGGATTAATTCTCTTCTCTTCACTTGACATCTAATAAACTAAAATTATTTAAGTGATGAAATTGAGAACTGTTAAGCCCATTATTTAATGATAGACACCATATAGTTTAAAATACTCAGTAATATGTACTTATGTTATTTCATGTTACATTTGCCGTTTACCTCTTAGGATAAGACTTGCTACAAAGGACTTGTGCTAGAATTCTCTCAATATTCCATACATCTTGGTTTGAGTTCTGACATGTATTATCTTTTCAGGTTCTTAAAGGTCACATTGCATTGGGTGATGCTCGGTTTCCAAAAGGAACTAATGGTACTGGAACTTTAGTCTCTGTCTGTATTTTGATAATTGATTGACCAGTTGTGGAAATCTAGATGAATGTTATTGGTTTGATGCTGTGCTGGTTAATAGAGATATAGTCTATGATTGAGGAGTGTACAGATGGGATCCATCTCTTGGTGCTCCTATTATTAACTATACTCTTGTTCAGTTTGATGTTTATTGGTCCTTATTCTATTTATTGTGCATGTGAACGCTCTTACTTGATGGTTGATGTATCAGGTCATGCTCTTGACATTCTTGCACGAATTCCTCTGTGGAAATATGGGCTTGATTATCGTCATGGTACTGGTCACGGCATAGGATCTTACCTCAACGTGCATGAAGGTGAGTGGATGAGTTTTTAATGTTATTTCTATTGATTTGCACACTGCATAATTAAGTATCAACACACGGTCTGTTTTTGCTGGACAGTATGGATGGACTAATAAATTGAAAAAGAAATAAAAATACCATGGGTATTTTGTCTGGACAACATTTAACTGCATCAATAAAATTAGTAAACTGATTCAACACATAACTCGCTGAGCACACATACTAATATTACTATACTAGTAGTTAGGCAAAGATCGCTCTTGAGAACATTCCCTTTAGCTGGACAAGAGCATGAATTAATGTGATGAAATGGGACAACCTTCTGCCCAGATCCTCGTTTGGCCCTGTAAAACCATTTTTTATTGTCAAAGAGGCAACTATTATTGTATTGATATTTTTACCAATTCTGCTTGCTTTATACTGAGCCCCATTTTGCAGTTTTTTTTTGAGTTTAACCTTCAGTTTGTTTCTGTTTGAGCAGGTCCTCATCTAATTAGCTTCAGACCTCAAGCTCAGAATGTACCTCTGCAGGCTGCTATGACTGTAACGGATGGTTAGTATGGATGGATTAGCAAGCAATCTCCATGAATTTCTAGTACAGTTTACTTTTTGTTTGGTGATGCTTAAGGCGTGCTCAATTGCTCATGGAGTTATGGGTTACATAATACTCCGTAGTAATATTGTATATATTAAAAAAAAAAAAAAAAAAAAAGTAAAGCGAGATACTATGTGAATATACATGGTAATATGGTATGGGCGTTACAACACTGAGTACAATTTCGAGTGACATTAACCACCTTTCAATTCTCATCCTTTATCTTTCCATTGTTTCTTTTTATAAGGTCTTCTCTTCTCGGACCCAGAAAATTTGGCTGGTTTCCTCACTCTTGTAACAATATGCATTTGGTTGGTTTTTGCAGAGCCTGGTTACTATGAGGATGGGAATTTTGGTATTAGATTGGAGAATGTGCTTATAGTGAACGAGGCAAATACGGAATTTAACTTTGGTGACCGAGGATATTTGGGGTTCGAGCACATTACATGGGTAAGTTTTCGGCTTTCTAATTTTGAGTTCTTTTTTGCAGAGCCTGGTTACAATATCGTACTGTATATAGCTAAAATTCAATTTTTACTGTCAGGCTCCGTATCAACGCAAATTGATAAATTTAAGCCTTCTGACTCCAGAAGAAATAAGTTGGGTGAACACATATCATTCAAGGTGTCGAGAAATTTTGACACCTTATATGAATGATACTGAGATGGCATGGCTAAGAAAGGCAACAGAACCCATTTACATTTTATAATTATTCTCAATTTATAATTTTGTAAGATATTGTCAACCTATATTTGATTTTATTGTATTTTCCTTTGAGATCTTTATTTTATATCAAAGTATTCTTACTTTAATTTATGTTTTCTTCAAATAATGACACTAAATTATCAGGTTAAGTAGTCTATTATTCTTGGTGTTATTTGTTGTTTTATGATTTCTATTTATACTAAAATCTTGCAATTTTTATTTATATTTATATTTATTTATTTTTTATCTTTCGAATAGAATTTTGCAATTATTTGACACTATACATGACAGTAGCCTTTCATTATCGGCCTGATTGCGAAAGTCACTGAGTACACCGAGAAGCAATTTGCGCATCAAGTAGTTGTTCATAGTGTGGGCTACATTTTACTTCATCTTTCTCTCTTTTTTTTTTTTTTACCATATTGACTTTTCATGATCTTGGGTCTTCAAACGTTTATATCTCTAATTGTATATGCATAAAAATTATAAAAACTTGATATTAACATAATATACAATGAGACGATCCTAATAAGATCTCAAATATATATATATTATCATTATTTATGAGAATTTAGGGTTAAAGTTTAAAAATTTGACCCAAAAATATACTAGAGTAAAAAAAATAAGAAACGGAGGGAGTACAATTCTACAATATAAGTTCAAGCATCTCATATTCCTTGAACTCAAAACCTCTCATGAATAATAGCTATGCATAATGCATTGACAAATTTAATAATTAAACAATTGCAAATTTGCAATTTAAAGGAAACACTTAAAATATATATTATCAATAACTCAATATTAATGATAACAACTTGCAAGTCAACATCGAGAACTTTAGAACTACTAATGGACAAAAGTAATAAATCTACTTCACTTGATAAAACCCATAAAACGCTGAATTATATGCATTATTTTTTGTTACTGTTATTGACTTTTATCCCAAATTAAAGGCATGCAACATGTAATACTGCCCCCAACATCATTTAGTTGCCTTTGCTCTCTGATCAGTTAACTTCTTCTCACATGTATTAGCTATTTCAGAAAATGACTTGAGAGCTGACCCTTCTATAGTAAAGGTCTCTTTTGCATATTTTTGCACTTCTTTGGCTCTAACCCTCATCTTAATCCCATCATCATCTTCCATAACCTTAATTATCATCTTCTTAATCTCCTCTCTACCAACAACTCCTTTGGTTGGCAAGACCTTTGGGCGAATTGACACCCCTAGCTCCTCCTCAACCAATGCCGCGTTCATGTTTTGCTCGGCGTAGAGAGGCCAAGCAATAATAGGCACACCATTGACTAGACTCTCAAGGGTTGAGTTCCAACCACAGTGTGATAGAAACCCTCCAATCGATTTGTGAGCTAGTACCTCGGTTTGTGGGGCCCACATTGGGATCACCTTACCCAAGTTGTGGGTTCGGGTCAAGAAGCCGCGAGGCAAGTATTGAGAGACGATTTGATCTTGACCGTCCATCGCATGGAAGAGGGCCCCGGCTCCATCATGCTCAATAGGTGGGCGTAACACCCAAATAAATCTTTGTTGACTCATTTCCAAACCCCAAGCTAACTCTGTGGTTTGTTGACTAGACAAAGTTCCCCCACTTCCAAAGGAAACATAAAGGACCGACTCTTTTGGTTGGTCATCTAGCCATTCTAACAACTCTCCCCCTAAACACTCTGGTCTAACCGGCCGGACCAATGGTCCGACCGGATAGACTCGCTTATTAAATATTTCTCTTAGAATTTTATTGTTTTTCAAGGAGAAAAGTGTTTTTGACTCCAACTGTTTCCAAGTGTTGACTAACACCCCATCAGCTGTGCCTAAATCCAAAGCGATACGAACGTACTCATCATAGTCCTTATTCTCTGGGTCAAAAACCGGGTCAAGTATATCATCATACTCGACCCGTTTACAACCCGGGATATTGAGGGGACCTACATGCTTGACTTGTTTATCAAGGAGGGGTACACATATGGTCATAGCTAAAAACCATGCATTTGAAGGGATATAAACATATTTGACCATGTCAAACTCATCTGCAAGGCTAAGGAATTCGGTTCCAAAAAGGTCAACTACAAGGAGGGTCGGGTTGTGCTCCATGGATCCAAGCTCGGCCTGTAAGCTCGGAACATAGCCTCTCATCATGATAGCAAGTCGGGTCATGATCTTATCAGTTGGACTCATTTGAGCTGAAGAGTCCACATAGGGTAGCACAACCAAGTTGTACAAAGTTGGGCTTCTATAAGGTTGTTTAGGAAGAAGGTTATTATTGGGATTGTTCGAGGCGGTGGGCTCCATGGTTACAACGAAGATTGTAACGTGGAAACCGTGGTGTGTAACGAGGCGATTGGCGAGCTCAACCATGGGGATAAGGTGGCCTAAGCCAGGGCTTGCAAGTAGAGCAGCATGAGGTTTAGTTGGGATCATAGTAGCTAGCTAATATAATAAGAGCAAAAGAGGGAAGAGTTTAGAGGTGGTGTAATGTAAAGAAGTAGGGAAGTAGTGTGAATAATGAAGTTATGAAGAAGAGTATGTAAATAATGTAGTATTTATAGAACAAGAATGGAGATGATCAAGTACAAGAGCTAATGGGAAATTGATTAAGAGACAATGAGACATTGAGAGTAATGACTGGTATGTACGTCCAGTTGATTAATATATATGGACCCATTTGAGATGGTCAATTGGTATACTCTAGAGTTTGATTTATTAATTAAGTAACATATTATAATATTAACAAATTACTTCAACAAAAAATATCTGTGTGTGAATAGGATCATATGAGACCACACCCCTTATGTGAGAATATTATTATATGTGAGGACTCATTATAACCATTGGATCAATTGCATCCAACGGTCACAATACAATCCTGGTTTAAACAAAACCATTTTATTTCAAAACAATTTATGCGTTTTTTCTCTCTCCTCCTTCCTCTTTCACGCGCAATTTCTCTCTCCTCATTCAATTTCATCCGGTTTTCTACTCTCTTTCTCTCTAAAATTTCATCACAACTTCTTCAATCTTCATCAATTGTTCGTCAATGTAAGTTATTGTTTATTTTTTTTGCTGTTTTTCAATTAAATTTAGGTTACATTCATTGTTTATCTTCGTTTTGATTTTTGTTTTATTTGTGCTGATTTCATCTCTCTAATTTTAGGTTACTTTGTGTCGATTATGTTTTAGTTTGTTTTTTTTTGTTGATTTTAGTTTTATTTTCATTTTTTTGAGTAATTATCAAGTTCATTTTAGTTTTATTTTGCCTGAATTTAGGTTTTAACATGTATTCTTGTTTTGGTTGTGTATTTGCGAAATTATGTTGTGGTTTTGTTGTGATTTTCGCTCGATTTTGTTGCGATTTTTGGTTTGGTTGTGAGTACTGTTAAAGCCAGTATAAAGCTTCCTTCGAACATTCAAGATAATCCAAACACTTAAACCCCTATTTTACTTGTGAATTCTGATTCGAAATATTTACAACAGGAATTGAGGATGCACGTAAACTGTTCGATAAAATGTCTAAGCGAAAAGCTAAATGTTTGGAGCTTTGGACCCCCAAGATTGGTTTTTCCAATTGATTAGGAAAAAAAACAGTACTTCATTACAAATTGAAGATTGTAATGCAGTACATAATCTAATTTTGTTGGAAGTTTGAACGACATACAATGAGGATGATGAGGAAAAGGATGAGAGGAGGAGGAGGGAGGCGATTCGGAGGCGTGCCAACGTGGAGAATGGCAAGGAGGAAACAGAGGTTAATGGCAGTGATAATGGGGTTGTAGCTGATGATATTGAGGATGATGAAGATGATGAGGATGATTTAGATTTTCATCAAGCAAAGCGCAATCGGTCTGTGGAGGTCAAGAGGGATTGCCCTTACCTTGATACTGTTAACAGACAAGTACTTAATTACTCGAATTTGATTCAGGTTGTATTTATTGGTTGTTTGATATTTTATTTTAAGCATTTTTATTTTATACTAGTTTTTGTTTATTGGAATCTGTAGTAAGGAATTAGAATGTGGTTACTACAATAACTTTTGGTAATTGCTAGTAATTTGTAAAATTGTAATTGCGTGCTACATTAGAAGGCGGAGCAAATTTGGAAAGATGGCCTCTTTTCGGATTAAAATGGTTCTGCAGGATAATGATGAGCATACATAAGTTTGGGTAGGGAGGTGTTGATTAGGAGATTGTCCTAGTAATGGGATAGGTATCAGGTTGGTCTTGGGAGACAATGGGAGGTCTGCTTTGTTAAATATTCAATGAGTGTTCTATAAAAGGAGTAGGGGTGGGACTTCGGTTTGGCAGTTTGGTTTGACTTCGGTTTGAAACGGTTTCGGTTTGAAACGGTTCGGGTTGAAACAGTTTCATTTAAACGGCGGGTCGGTTCGGTTCGGTTCTGATTAGTCACAGGTCGGTTCGGTTTCGGTTTATTTTTGTACGGTTTAAATTCGGTTCAGGTCATAAACGATTCGGTTTATAAACAGTTCGGGTCATAATCAGATCGGTTAGACACGGGTCAGTTCAGGGGCGGGTTTACTCGGGTCAATGCTGGTTCGGTTTTTAAACGATTCGGTTCATAATCGGATCGGTTTGAAACAGGTCGGTTCAGGGGCAGTTTTACCGGGTCAACGTCGGTTCAGGTTCATATCGGTTCGGGTCATGAACGAATTATTTTGAAACGGGTCGGTTCAGGGGCGGGTTTACCCTAGTTAATGCTAGTTCGATTCATATCGGTTCGGTTTATACTCGGTTTGGTGCTAAAATCATTCGGGTTAGTTTGGTAATCGGTTAAATTGGATCGGGTTGAAAAGGTTCATTTCTTTAGCGAACTAGATAAAGTCGGTTTGATTCGGGTTGAAATTGAAATCTAAAAAGTGGTTTTGACCAGTTAGCGTGTTTTGTTTTATATCAAGTTGGGACTAGTATTTCCATTTCATTAGCAGGTCAGTATAGGTTGGTGAAAAAAAAAATAGATCGAGTAGAAATTGGGTTTAAAGAGTTTTTGACCGATTAGCTGGTTTCGTTTTATATCAAGTTGGTATTTCGTCACTTTATTTTCAGACATCGGATTATATACAATTACACAAATCTTCATTTATTCAATTATTTTATATCATGTTAATATGTTATGTTTCAAGTTTGGTTATACTCTTGTTGTTGTTTATTAGATATTATCATATTAGTCTATTATAAATTTATAATGTATTATTGTTTCATTATCAAATATTATCAGGTTATCAGCTTCTTGTTGGATTGTTTTAGATATCATGTCATGACCATATTTTTATGAGTTGCTACTTTGAATACGATAAATCGATTCAGATATCAGATTATATAGAATTACAGAAATTCTCATATTCTATATCATGTTAATGTGTTATGTTTCAAGTTTGGTTATAGTCTTGTTGTTGTTTATTAAATATTAGTCTATTACAAATTTATAAGGTATTAATGTATTATTGTTTCATTATTGATTATTATCAGGTTATCAACTTCTTGTTTTAAAGATCGCGTCATGACCATGATTTGATGAGTTGGTACTTTGAATACGATAAATCGATAATTGATATTGTAATAAACTAATAATTTAATGTTACAGAACTATATTTGGATATTTAATTAAAATCACAATTATTCAATTTCCCATTAGTCTAATAAAGTAATAATTGACAATTGTTTGTAACTATTCCATAATTTTGGTGTTAAAGTTATATTGCTGAATTACTTTGTTCTCTTACCCTCTCTGATCACCTTTTAAGATTACGTGCCTACAAGGCTGCAACATATATATGTTGCAACTTGCAAGTTAAAGAAAACGGATGGAGAAGTAGAAGTATTCAATTAGATCGATCATCAACTGTTTTAAGTTTTAATAATCAGATACATTTATTGATTATCTATTCATACCAATGATAGTATGATACCAATCGTACCATACATTATTATTTATTACATATAATAACTAATATACATTAAATATGTCGTATTGAATCAATTTGAATTTCCAAACATTTCTGTTTCTTACAATTGATAAGTTATATAAAGTTAATCATTTTTTAAGAGTACAGTAGTGTTTTTATTAGTACGTAGCTATGAATAAAAAAAAACATACTATCCTAATCCATCATTCCACGATCCGTGTCACCGTCTTAAATTAAATATCAGCCATTGATTTGCATGTCATCTAACGGCCTATCATCGCACACATTCCAATTCATGATCCGTGTGTTTTCTTTTCCACTAATTAAATCACTCTTACCATTGTCTCTTTAGTACTCTTTGATTTCTCTCTCGTTTTCTCTCTCCTCTTCTGTAATATTATCAATTTTTTGAGCCATGGCTGCTAATATGCTCACTGCTCTCCCGTTTTCTCTCTTATCTCCTCTTCCATCTTCCTTTCTTCTTTTCCCTTCTTCCATCTATGTTCTCCTTCTTCCATCTCGTTTTCCGTCACCGTCCACCGGCACCACGCACGACGGTTTTTATGGTCAAATTCGACCACGAAACTCTAGATCTAGTTGTTTCATGATCGAATTTGGCCTTTTAAAACCAAATTCGAGGCCAAATTCGGGATTAATATAATAATATATAAGATATTTTCGTTCTTCCTTTTTTTCTGTTTTTTTTTCAGGTCGTGGGCGACGGAGGGGGCCAAGTTAGGATGGGTTCGGCGGCGGTTAGAGTGGGTTCGGGTGGGAGGGGAGGGAGGATTTTTCAAGGGAGGGAGGGAGTTTTATGGTGGGTGAGTAGTTAGAGTGAGTTGGGGGGGGGGTTTCGAAGATGTTGGGTTTCGTGGGGATGGGTGGGGTGGGGTTACAGTGGGTTTGGGTTTTTTTTTCCGATTTTTTTCGTATGGGGTAGGGTGGGGTGTGTTACGGTGACGGTGGTGGGTGTGGTTGGGGTTGGGCCTGGTTTTTTTTTTTTTTTTTTTTTTTGTACAGTGACAGTGGTGGGTGGGGTGGGTGGGGTGCGTTACGCTGATGGTGGTAGGTGGGGTGGGGTATGGGTCTGGGTTTTATTATTTACGGTGACGGTGGTGGATGGGGTGGGTGGGGGTTTGGGTCTGGGTTTTTTTGTATTTACGGTCGGTGGTGGGGTGGGGTGGGGTGGGTTATGATAATTATGGTGGGTGGGGGTGGTGTTAGGGTGTGTCTGGGTTGATGGTGGTGGGGTGGGGGTGGGTTACGGTAACGGTGGTGGGGTGGAGGTGGGTTACGGTAACGGTGGTGGGTGGGGGTAGTGTTAGGGTGGGTCTGGGGTGACGGTGGTGGGATGTGGTGGTGATAGGGTGAGTCTGGGGTGACGGCGGGGGTGGTGTTAGGGTGGGTTACGGTGGTGGGTAGGTGGAGGGTGTTGGATTGGGTGGGTGGCCAGATTTTTTATAATTTTTTCATTCAATTTATAACTCCTAATTTAGTTATGCAAGAATATAATATTAATTTTATAATAGCAAAAAAATTTATAAATTTAAATTAATAATTATACGTACAAAAAATTGTACTGCTAAACTACATTAAACATCAAATGTATTCGTGGAATTATAACAAATTGTTAAAGGCTGTAAATAGTCCAATTTGAATGGAACGGGTTGTAAACGGTTTGTTTTAAACAGTTTGTAATCGGATCGGTTTAAACGGGTTGCGGTTTAAAAATAGTTCGGTTTAAACAACTTAACAGGTTACAACGGTTTGGTGTAAACGGTTAGCGGGTTGTAAATGGTTCGATTTAAACGGTTTTTTTCCTACTATTCAAACGGTTTCGGTTTATAATCGGTTCGGTTTAAACAGTTAGCGGGTTAACATTAATCGATTCAAACGGTTTCGGTTTATAAACGGTTTGGTTTGTTATCGGTTTACGGTTCGTAACGGGTTAACATTAATCGGTTTCGTTCGGTTTCGGTTTGACATTATACGGTTCAGTTCGGTTTTCGGTTTAAAACTAGCGGTTTATAAACAGTTCGATCCGTGATGGTTCGGTTCGATAACGGACGGTTTCACAGTTCGGTTTGAAAAGTCCCACCCCTAAAAAGGAGTCATAATTTG